TGTGCTTTAATGAGGGTGCTTGCTAGTTTTTAAGAAGACGAATGATAGGGAGCAGGGGAAGGTGGGAGTAAAAACTCTTTTGTTTTTTATGTTTCCTACAGAAGGCAATTTTTCCATTCACTGGTTGTGTCGATTTTCTAAATTGTTAGTCCGCAAGTCCATCTTGACAAATTAAGGCTCAAATTCTAGGGTTTTTTGAATAATTTTCCGAACTTAAACTGTGGCTCGCAAAGGCCTACTGAAAAGCGGGACGTTTTTATACCAAAAATTTCCCTCGACCAGAATTCTAGGAATTTACCTTCTGTTTTTGATAGTACTTCAAGAAATCAGGTGAAAAAATCTTGCAGATTTTTTGTTGCATTGATGGATTACCTTACTTTAATGGCGCCATTTTGATAGGGTGTCTTGATCTGTTTGCATAGATTCGTTTGCGAAAGCAGATAGTAGGGGAAGAGCATGAAGTTTTTTAGATGAAAATTGAAGGAAGGGGGAGACTGGTCGATGGAAGACTCGTAGCTGGCCCGTGGCGGTAGATTGTAGGTTTATGCAGATTCGGCTGAGAGTTCAAATTCGTCTGTTTAATGTACTGCTTATGCAAGAACATGTAGTTGAAAAATACAAATAAAGAATTCGATTTACAAGTAGTTACGATCAAATAAATTTTGCTTATTAAATTTTTCACTTTCAACAGCCACTGCTTTATCGTTTTGCACGCAAATTATGTGTGAGTGTAGAAAGTTGTTGAGCCGACAATCCCTTCAAGAGACGAAAGATCGCCAGTAGACTGACCACTGGATGAGACAGCATTGGTCATTGTGACTGAACTGTGGGCTAAACGGAAAATGGGAAGTTTATTAGGAGTTCGTTGAAGGTTCACGATATGGACCGAAACGTCTCATCTCAATTTTTTAATCCCTTCTTGTCCCCAGTTCTTTTTCTCACCTGCAATCCCACATGCAAGCAATTAAGTAAACAGTAAATTGATTAGACTTGTCATTCCTAAGAGGAGTAAAAACTGCATCATTTCCGTCCTGCGGCAAAAAGTGGTGAATCTACGGGGCTGCGTCGCAGGGCGAAGGACTAAAGAGAAAGCGATGCTGGTGTTTGTGTCCATTTTGCAATGAACTGCAATATATCAACAAAATTTTCTGCTGGTTTGGTTTTTTGCGCCACAATAAATTCGCTCCAAATATCTCGATCGGCCACTTTTCCGGATGAGCCGAATTCTTTGACGTTTCCACGTGCAGGGTAACCTGTAAGCGATTTTTCAATATTTAAGCGAAGCACAACCTCGGGCATAGGCAGCAGGAGGGGCTAGCTCATAAAATCCCTCTTGTGCAGGTGTGGGAAAGCTACGCTCAGAAAGATGGATGTTCTAATTACTTTGGCTTCTCCACTACTCATTAATTCGTTTCGACAGCAAATTGGTAAGCCAGAAAATCAAACCCGTCACCGGCTTACGACTGTTGAGTGGAAGGGAGCCACTGACAGACTTACCAGTGGGTGGTTGCTAATTGCCACGTGCTTCCCTCAGAATGCATCCAAGTAAGGAGGAAAACTTCTTCAGTATGTCTCGTGAGGTTATAATACTTCTCGTTTCTTTTCGAGCTATCACCGCTATTATGCTGTTTTTTATTGGCGTGACAAACAGAACTTGCAAGAGCAACTGTGAATGACCAAAGGTTGCATCATCTTCTTTGATTGTCAAGAGTGAAGCAGTGACGCCCAGCTTAG